GCCTAATATGCTTTTAATTGTTTAAATTAAACTAAACTGAATAATATTAATGTTATGTTTACACCATATCTGCATTTTCAAATCGTGGCAACAGCTGGAGGTTTAGTCCGCAGCATGTTGTAGCAATGTTTAAAGTGCTGACCCTCTAGTTCTGAGTTTCTTCCCACTGCAGCCTCACTTTCATTCTTTAAAATGGCAGCCACGTGAAACAGAATCACCCAGGGTCCTAGGCGGACACTATCATGACACCACCATAAAAAACTCACATAAGGGGCTGGAGTGTTTACAGTTTAATCATTTAATTATTTTTTTAGGGGTTTTCACCTTTACTGTGATAGGACAGGTGGGATTTAGAGACAGGAAAGTGTGGGAAGCAGAGATAGGGGAATGGTCAGCAAAGGACCTCAAGCCCGAATTAAACTCGGGTCGCCGTTAACATCTCAGTGCCATGTGTCGACGCACTAACCACAAGGCTATTGGTGCTGACAACTTATGCTATGGTCAAACTAGAGTTTGAGCTTTAATTCTGTTGTCAGCGCTGCAAAAAGTGGGATTTAACAAAATGATTAGACATTAAAAAAGCGAGCGATTGCTTCATATTTTACATTTCTGGACTTAGAGGTCATGTTTTGATCTTCAATTGGTCTCACACAATCACATGATGTGATTCCACAGGTCAGAGTTCACTAAGCTTGAAATTTGCAAATGCTTTGCGAACTTTTCACATGAGCTTGTGTTTCCGGTCTGCCACATTCGCATGAATATGAATGGAGGAATGTCCAGTTGAAGTCAGAATTTTAAGCTTCTTGAATTATTAGCCCCCCTGTTTATTTTTTTCCCAATTTCTGTTTAACGGAGAGGAACACAATACTAAACATAATTAAACATAATAATTTTAATAACTAATTTCTAATAACTGGTTTATTTTATCTTTGCCATTATGACAGTAAATAATATTGTACTAGATATTTTTAGAGACACTTTTATACAGCTTAAAGTGACATTTAAAGGCTTAACTAGGTTAATTAGATAGGCAGGTTAGGATAACTAGACAAGTTCTTGTATAATGATGGTTTGTTCTGTAGATTATTGAAAATAATATATAGCTTAAAGAAGCTAGTTATTTTGACTTGATTAAAAAATGGATTAAAAAAAATAAAAACTGCTTTTATTCTAGCGGAAATAAAACAAACAGAACTTTCTCCAGAATAAAAAGTATTATCAGACATACTGTGAAAATGTCCTTGCTCTGTTAAACATAATTTGGGAAATATAAAAAAAAGACGAAAAAATTCAAAGGGGGGCTAATAATTCTGACTTTAGTTGTATGCCACATTCGCATGAGTATAAATGAATGAATGTGGCTTTATGTGTGCTTTAATGCACCTTTTGGCCAAAACACACTCATTCAGAGAATCAGGACAACCTTTTTATACCATAACATTTTTTCCATCCTTAAAAATTAAAAGCAGATTGTAATACACCCTTAGTACTTTTGCCCCACGCGCTTTAGACTTTGCGTTTCAATCACTACTAGTCATCATTAATGTATAGTCCTTTGTGTTGCTGCATTTAATTCTATGATAATTATTTCTACCTGACAGTTGGCATTTAGGCTGAACATTTGTTTAGTTGTCTTAATTTTTCAGGGCAAGTTTGGTCCTGTGTTGCCTCAGTAAAACTCAGTCCTGCTGAGTTTTGCTCCCAACCCTAATCATACACACCTAAACAAGACAGTCAAGAAATGAGTATTACTAGACAGCTGAAGGTACGTTTTTTTTGAAAGCCGCAAAACTCTTTAGGATTGTAGCTATCCATAGCTTCCTTTTCCCCATCCCAGGTGCTATTAATAATTAAACCAACAACAGTCAAATAGGAAGGAATACTACCGTATCATTGCTTAGTAGCAATAATATTTTAGCCGTGATTTTATCATATGAGACAAAATTAGGAAATCCTAAAAGATTCCTAAAATTCTAGGCTAAAATCTGTGCTCTTTGATTGTTGGTTTGACATGTTCACAGACAGCCGCTCAGATTTTCCCTCCAATGAAGTTCTGGCATTGTCAGAAGATTTCAGACACTTTCCTGCAGTGTGACAACAGCTGCGTTGAGCATCAATCCAAGAATCAATAGGATCCGATGACGCGATTCATGCGACAAATTGTTTATGTTTGCTGTGAGGAGTCATTTCAGAACAAGGGATAGTAAAAGTGTCACGGGTGGATGACGTCAAACTGGGAGAGTTTTCTTCCGTGTTTGGTGCATCTTTGTTGTTGTTCAGTCTGACATTATGACGGCTGAGATCTTACAGTGTGACATGAGAGCCATGTTCATGCAGTCTGACATGCTACAATCGTTCAGGATTATAAAAAATCTCACTGTGGGAGCTGGCCTTAAGGCCTAATCCCAATTCTACCCCTTAGTTCACACTCGAAATCAAGGGGTAGGAAAATTTCTAAGAATACACCATCTACAACGACAGCATGACTGCACACGGAGGTCAGGAGATGCAAAAATTTGTATTTTTTGTCATTAATAATTTTTTTTTACCACAAACAAGCACATGTTTTAATATATTTAGAACAGCGTTCGTGTTTTACCGTCATGCTCAAAACATCCAGCTAAATTTCGTTATCTATAATCCCTAATTATAACTCCTGTATAGTAGTTCCACAACATTGTCACTCGATGACACTCGAATACCCTGTCATAAAAGGGTTAGGGGTACAAAAATAGAATTGGGATTGGGTCTAGGTTTACTGTATATAACATTTAATTATGAGAATTAATACTGTTATAGTTTGTTCTAAATGTGTTACTCTTAACAACATCAGCATGCGTGACTATTGCATTTATTGTGCATTAACATTACAATAAGATTTCAATATCTGTACAGTCTCGCTGTACTATAGCATTGTAGCCTGGAGTCCTCGGAGTGGGAAGGACTTAAGCTGCTTGTGGCTTCTGAACATGTGCACATCAATGTACTGTATGTACAATGTACAATGTTTTTTGTGACATTGTTGTAAGGAGTTGTAAGGTACAGCTGTGCAATTTTGGGTTGAAACAGGTGTAGATTCAAAGAGTTTAAGAGTACAAGACATAAATAAATCAATCAAAAGAACCATTAGGTTTGTTCCCACTTGCAACTCAAATCTCAACCATTTGGAGCTGGCTCTAACCTCCGTTTATATCTAACTTCTTAAATGTACTATGTGCCCCATCTGTGGCATGTTGTCACATTTCACATTGTTTTTTTGTGTAAATAATAATAATAAAATTATATATATATATATATATATATATATATATATATATATATATATATAATATATATATTAAATAAATTTTGAGAAGATATTTGACACATATCACCAAAAAAATTTGCTTTTGCCTGCCTAAAGCTAAAATCTCTAAGCAATCTTAATTAGCAGCATGCTAGTTCTTCAAATTCTAAGTACATGGTTAGAATGTGCAGTCTTAACTTATTATTAAATTGAATAATTTTGAAAAATGCATTTAAAACCCTTCATTAAGAATATTAAAAGTTTATTTTATAAAATATTTCATATTTACATTCTTGTATAAACATGGTGGTCTATTTAGCATCTTCTCAGTTTTTTGCAGTCTCGTTTAGCTGGTCTCCTAATCTGAACAATCTGAAAAATCTTCTCTTATTACCAGTTAACAAACAAGTTTTGTTCATAGGCATTTTAATTGTGAGGTGTAATACTACAAGAAGTTCCTTGTGTGTGAAACATGCTCTCATAAGTTAGCCTTACAAGCTGCATATTGTCACGTTAGAATTATAAGGTTCTATGTGACATTTTTGTCGACAATTGAGTTAAGACACATCCTAAGATATTTTCTTATTGACAACTTATTTACATTATAGGATGTTTTTTTTAAATAAGTTGTTTACATTTTAAGACTTTTTATTTAAAAAACAAATGTTGCACACATACTGTTTGCTATGGAATGCAAAATCTTTAAAACTTAATATCTCAAAATCATTCAAAACGCAAATAGAACCTTATAATTCCGAGGTGACGATGGTGTTGGCAGTTGGCACCAGCAAAAAGCAATCTAATAAGACAAAATCTAATGAAGTGTCTGTCTCTATCCATTGGGCAGTGTTAATTGGCGTATGTAGATTTTTTTCATGCTGCCAAAACAATGCTTACCAACAGGAGGTTAGGGGGCTCTAGTAACATTGTTACTGGCCTACCCAAATTTTAATATGATTGTATATAATTAGTATAATCGCTAAGTATTTAAGTGCTGAAATGAAATAAACCACATAATCACAAAAGAGGACCATGATTTAGGTGATAGTAAGAAAGAAAAGTAAATAATACTACATACAGTAGCTAAATAGCTAAATGTTACTTTTAAAACAACAAAGAACAGTGTACTTTTACAACAGATTCCATCATAACCATTCTTAGACTAAAACACAAGTACATAAATAGTGTTCAAATTTACTCACAAGCAAAGATTTTATGTATCGTCATCTGTTCTACATTTGATACTTTTCTCTATACCTTTAAAGTCGCCATGAAACAGAAGTTGAGAATGTTCTCCTCCCCCCCTGTTGTACTTCCAGTTGAAACATTCCTGAAATGGGGAGAAAAATGTAGTTTGACAAAGGGTTTGCTGAAGTTTTTTTGTTGATAGTTTTAAAATTTTTTTTGTAGAGAATTTTATGTTTTTTTCTTCATTAAAAATCATAAGGATAACCATTTTTTCAGACTGGTTATGTAAGATTTTTAGACTACATGGATATATAGTTGAATAATGCTAGAATTAGGAGAGAACAGCTGAAGTACAGAGGAAAAGGAAATGAAGGCTTTACGTGTCACTACCCACCCCATCCAGGGAATGAGGAAGAAACTCCACCTGTAAATGACAGCACATCACAGCTCCTGAGGTAGGCGTGTTCCCATAGACTTTCTTCAAGACGATTCTTTTAATACTGCCTAGTGAGCTGATGTATGCATTGACTGTGAAGTACTGGAGGTGGTTAAGACGGTTCAGGATGGAGGAGTGCTGTTTATCAGGCGAAGAAAAAGAGAAAATGAGGATTCACCAAGAAATTGAGAGGAAGCTAAAAATGGACAAGCGGAGTTCCAACAAAGAATTGAAGCTTTTACTTTTAGGTATGTACTTTATAGATTTTTAAAACTATTAAAAAAATTTTGGTGCTTGAAATGAATACTCATTTACTTAAAGAAAATGCAACAAAACCTTTTTATTTTTATTTTTATTTTAATTCAGTCAGTTGCCAAGGATATATTTATTATTTTCATATAGTTTAACTTAGCTTTAAAAAAAGATGTAAAACAAAATAGACATATTTAAGTAAACTTTTAAAAGTTACAAAACAGAGAGAGAGAGAGAGAGAGAGAGAGAGAGAGAGAGAGAGAGAGAGAGAGAGAGAACAAGCTATTAATAAATACGACAATAGTAATATTTAAAATAACTACTACTACTACCAATAATGTTACTTTAAAAAAAAAAAAAAAACTCACAACGATCTGTAATGTAAAACATCTTTCATTTCGGCTGTTTAGCATTTTATTACTTGACATGAATTTACTATCCAATTAAAATGGCAATGTACTTTTGTTCAAATACAATTTTAAGGCTTAAAATTTTCACTTTAGTTGTTTAGACGACATATTCCTCGGTTTGTGGTCATATGCAAACACATGCAAAATCATGTCAATGCATCCGTCACATGTGTCGTTATGTTTTTCAATTCCTAATGAAAAAAAAACACACAATCATATCAAGATGCTCATGAAAAACATGCAAAACATGAACATTTTATGAATGCCTAACACAGCATTTACAGATAGGATCAGTTCCAGAATGTGCAGTTGTTTCATATAGAAAATAATCACTTTTCACTGGGATTAAGTTCTTTCATGGTTTTCCCTTTGTAACGTATGTCCCTATTGGACTTTATTTTTTTGTCTAGTACTGTTTGGTTGTAATGTGACTAGTTTATTAGAAGAACTGGTGAACAAGTCTATCCAGTGTTTCCTTGTTTCAGACATGATAACAATCTCCACACTTTCAGCAAAACTTCCATTTGTCAGACCTGTTTAACATGTTAGAGATTAGTATACAGCAATCCAACTCTGAAATCTTATTTTTTATGCCATCATATGTGGTTATGTGTTATCAAACTCAACAGAATGAATTTGGTTTTCTGCATGGAGAGAATTGTGTTTTCTGTATGCATGGTGGACCATACTGAATGTTAGTGTGTCTAAAAATAGCTGTTCAGTTTCACATGAATACAAATCATATACAAATATTTTGCACCTTACTGGCAGGGTAGTTTGATGACATGATTACAACGTCCTAAGGCAAAAAATCTAACTAGGAAATACATAATAGAAATCTTTGTCTGCATTTCTAAAATGAACATCAGGAAATCAACACTTTATCATCCTATTTTTGCATGTCAGCAGTTCTGTATTGAAGGTTACTTAATTATAAAAAAGAAAACGTTGTCATAATTCTCACGTTGTCACAAAGTGTATAATTTTTAATGTGAAGAATTTGTTGTCTACATATTTCCATCATGTTTTTTTTCATCATGTCATCAGTCTGGATTTTGAATGTTTTCAGAATAATCACTTGGTTTGTGTGACTTTTGGAAGCTTTGGAATAATCTGATAGATTTGTGTTTTGTTTTGTATCACTTCTCACTTATATAAAACCTATCAAAATATTTACTTTTGCAATCTATAAAAGAATACCAATATAGTTTAAATTTTGAGTTAACAATCACCTTATACCATCAGTCTAATACCAGCAGATTGTAATGTCTTTGAAGCTTTGTGCCGTTTGTTAGCATTATCTCATTTTCCCACACAAATCAGGGAACATCCAACAGTTAATTACTCCTCCAGCATGATAAATAAAAGAAAAGTAAATAAAAGAAAATTAACACGTAAAGAGAAAAATATATAGGTCTACATAAAACAATGGTAAAGCTTTAAAGACCTCTAGCGGACAACTGCAGAATCGCAATCTTTTTCCAACACGTCTAAACCTGGCCATGCTCTTATCACTGTTTTGACTTTGATTTTCATTTATTTTTAATCCAGAAAATGTTCTTCTTCTGCTAAACATGAAACTAAGGAAGTCCTAAGAGGTCATGCATTAAAATATTTTTTTTCTCTCTTGCTTTGTCGAGATCTCGACTCAACAATGTAATCTCGACATGACAAAAGTTGTTTTCTCGTGACCACGACTTAATTTACATGTTACAGTTGTGGCCGAAATGATTAGAACACTAGTATTTTCACAAGCTGAATTTGTTACTGTGTTTCTGATTTGCTGAGATGTATAGGTATGGAATATCAGTTTACATTTTCACACATTCATTTTGCTATTAATTATGATGATCCAGTTTATGAAATACTTTTACAAACCACTTCTTCTAGAAATGAGCAATTTAATTTATTAGTATTTATAATATGTTCTAATTCTTTCTAAATACGTTTATTATTACAAAAACCATCAAAGAGGTCTATTTACCAGCCTAAACAAAAACAAAAAAGCTTTAGGCAATTCATAACTCATTAAAGCCTTTTACTGCCATTTTAACTATCTGTATTTATATGTAAAATCATTATGATAGAAAAAAAAAACATTATTATCCAATGAATCATGCATAAAAATAAAGATACTACCATACCACATAAACACTCCTTATTGATAACAGCTGCCCTATTGTTCTAAAGAATTTTATTATGAGGGGGGAAGTTAAGTTTATTATCATTGGTAAAAATAACTTTATGAGAATGGTCATTCTACAGAAATGTGCATTTTTCTCTCCCTAAAAATAACAGCGATATCACACTTAATTTTTTTTTAGATTTACAATTTCTTTACATTTCAAAACGAAACATTATGTTTTAAACAGAACAGAAGGAAGGTGCTTTATTTTGAGGTCAAAAACAAATTACTTTTCTTAGAGTGTTATTTTTCTTTTCTCTTTCTCAAAACCATTGTGTTTCTCACTGGTGATTGATTTGTGTCGCTGGTGTTATTGTGTTTTTTTTTCCTATGTCACATTAAAAAATGTGTTGAGATATGTAAGAAATTTAATTATGATAATATTTTACATCCATTGAATTCTGCTCCTCTCAAGATTTATGATGACATCATTGCTTAGTTAATAAGATTTGTTTACATTTTTTTTCATTTTTAAAGCTAACATATGGTTGCAGAAATGGACTCATCATTAAAAATCATCATTAAATCATGCTTTTAACAACCCTAATTAAAACAACTAAAATATATCTCCTTATTTATTGCATTATCATTATTTTGTTACCCTGACGACAAGTGCTAAAAAAATCAAGAAATAGTATTTATAATTATTATTAAAAATATTATTAATAAAGTAGGTAGTGCTGTCGCCTCACAGCAAGAAGGTCGCTGCTTGAGCCTCGGCTGGGTCCGTCTGCGTTTCTGTGTGGAGTTTGCAAATTCTCCCTGTGTTCGCGTGAGTTTCCTCCGGGTGCTCTGGTTTCTCCCACAGTCCAAAGACATGCGGTATAGGTGAATTGGGTAGGCTAAATTGTCTGTAGTGTATGTGTGTGAATGAGTGTGTATGGATGTTTCCCAGAGATGGGTTGCAGATGGAAGGGCATACGCTGCGTAAAACATATGCCGGATTAGTTGGCAGTTCATTCCACTGAGGCAACACCGGATTAATAAAGGCACTAAACCGAAGATAAAATGAATGAATGAAAAATAAATACCTTTAATATTGCCAAAAAAGTAGCACCAGTAAAGTAACACAAGTGACAAAAAAGTACATGCAATATTTAAAGTACAAAAACTATATAATTTTTTTTTTTAAGCTGTCATTTAAGTGGTCTCATGAAGGCAAAATGTAAATGATTATTGTCGAAGTACAAGTTTAAATGTAAAAATAATACATTAGATGTTTGACATTATGACAGATATATTTAAAGGAATAAAACAGTTTAAAGGCCAGTGTCATAATTTACTCACCCTTGACTTAAACACAAAAGAAACAATCTGGAAACCATTAACTCTTCAGAATATCTTGTTTTGTGTTTAACAGAAAATATTGACAAATATGAATGAATAAATTCGTTTTTTTTTATTTTGTATTTTGGGACAACTATCCCATTTTTACTAAATGACCAAGAAAAGATTTAAAATCAGTGGTAAAAAATATCTTTCCCCATAAAATAAAATAGGGGCATCACGTGGTACAGTGGGTAGCATAATTGCCTCACATCAAGAAGGTCGCTATTTTGAGTCTCGGCAGGGTCAATTGGCATTTCTGTGTGGAGTTTGCATGTTCTCCCCTTGTTCGTGTGAGTTTCCTTTGATGCTACAGTTTCCCCACAGTCCAAAGATATGTGGGTATAGGTGAATTGAATAAACTAAATTGGCCGTAGTCGTGCATAAAATATATTCAGGATAAGTTGGTGGTTCATTCCACTGAGGCGACTCCTGATTAATAAAGAGACTAAGCCGAAAAGAAAATGAATGAATGAAAATAAATAAAATTAAAATAAAACTTTAGTCATAAGCCATGATTCACTCAACCTAATGGTGTGGACAAAATATTCCCTCATGGGACATAAAAAAAAGTAATTCAGTCCAAGATATTCTTTTTCATACAATTTAAATATTTGGTGACTGAGCCAGACTTAAAGATAACATTATTGAAGGGCAAATCGTTTTGCTGAAACTATCCAATTAAAATCCGTGGTTTAGCTTTGAAGATATGCAGCACAATAACTGTGTGATGCATGATTTCTCTGTGCTAAAACTTTTCATGTTACTGCACAGGCACAGGAGAGAGTGGGAAGAGCACTTTCATCAAGCAGATGAGAATTATACATGGCAAGGGCTACACAGAGGAAGACAAGAGGTCCTTTGCCAAACTGGTGTACCAGAATGTCTTTACTTCCATTCAAAGCATGCTTAAAGCCATGGAGAACCTGAAAATCCCCTTTGCTGAAAGCAAAAATGAAGTATGCACCATATATTCAGACACAATGATGTGTTTTATTATTAAATATCTAAATAAAATAAAAACAAGACTGAAATTGTGAACAATTGTGTTGCAGACATTTGCTGCAATGCTTAAGGAGGTGGAAGCAGAATCAGTGCAAACAATGGAGGCTAAATATGCTGAAGCCATCAAGAGTGTGTGGAAAGACCAAGGCCTGCAGAAATGCTATGAACGCAGGAGAGAGTATCAGTTATCCGACTCTACCAAATAGTAAGTGCTGTGAATGTTTCTTTGTTTTACACATATATGATAAATGCTTTTGTTTTAAGATATTGTTTTTAGATTAAGTTGATTTTGCAGAGTTAGACATGTTCCTGGATTAACATATTTAGTTCAAAAATTGGGTAACACTTTACAGTAACAGTACATGAATATTGATGTGTTAATATGTAAATTAAAGATTACTTTATTATGAAATAATGATGTGTTATTGTGTGGCTAATCATGAATTAACTTTAACTACTACATGAGTGACATGAGTTTATGTGTAAATAACTGCTAACTTTAACTACTACATGAGTGACATGAGTTTATGTGTAAATAACTGCTACCTAATTAACTGTTAGTACAAGCTTGTTTGTAAATTAATGCATTAATTACCCCATTAGTTTATGCTTGATTTAACCATAATGTACGTATGATATGTTAATGTATAATTATATCATGACTTTATTTGGAGGAGCACATTATCATTAACCAATTTTTAACTACTTATGCATGTTCATGTAGTGCGTTTACACTGAATAACAATAGAAAAATGTCAACATCAACATGAACAGTTTAAGTAAAGTTTAATATTAAACTAATTTCGAGAGGAGCACATGCTCATTATTGACCCAGCTAGCCCACATTAGCTAATCATGATCCTCCAATCAAAGGATCCCAAGTAACTATATATATCCTCATTTCCTTTCTACAACTATCTTCGTCTGAAAGAAACTCCTCTCCGTCTTCCACCTTTATCCAGAATGGGCGGCACGGTGGCCCAGTAACTAGTACTTTTGCCTCACGGCAAGAATACCAATGGCGTCAGGTCCTCGCAGAGTTTGCATGTTTACCCGTGTACGGTTGGGTTTCCCCCGGGTTCCCCGGTTTCCTCCCACCGTCCAAATATGCTCTTTATTGTAAATGAAATAAGCCTAAATCTTTTTTCTAATGTCTTACTCTTAGGAAGTTTAACTTGACCTTAGCAGCAGGGGAGTTTGAGATCAACCTGAGCTCAATTTTCTCACGCCCTGCGAAAGTGGGAGCCCTGGGCTTAAGGATCCCTTGAGCTTATGGCCCTCTCCCATTTAAGGATGATGTGCCCCTCCAAGTAAAGTCACAAAATAATTATACATAAAATTTAGCTTAAACATAAATGTTAATTAATACATTAATTAACAGCATGTACTAACAAGTAATTAAGGTAGCCGGCATTCACACATGAACTCTTGTGACTCATGTTTTAATTAAAGTAAGTTCATGGTTAGCATATACATTAACTCATCATTAATTCATAATAAAGTAATGTTTAGTTACATATTAATACATCATTATTCATGTACTGTTATTGTAAAGTGTTACCAAACCTAACCGTAACCCTAACCCTAACTAACCCAACCAAAAGTTTGAGAGAAATAGTGAGTGATTCTGTGTTATTCTTTTACTTCTTGATTTAACTGCAACACTGGAACATGAAATTTTGATCTTTTGTATGGAACATTGGTTGAGCATTAAGATCACGGCCTTGGTTCAGTTATCAGGAAGCATTAGTTGTCCAATATTAATTGGTAACACTTATTTTAATCTCATATATAAATCATATAAATCATTAACTGTTGTAATTTACAGTAGGCTATTTATTAAGAAATAAAAAAATCGTAATTAATAATATTAATTATTATTATTATTTTTTAAATTAAATTTGATTTATTTTACAATAAATACAATAATACAATAAATTATTGTACAATTTGCCACATTCAAACCACTGCAGAAATCTTCTAACCAACAGGCATGTCATATACAGTACAGATTCATTTCTTAATAAATGACCTACTATAGATTAAACCATTAACATATGCTATATATTTTTGTTTCACAAGCTTTGGAGACAAAGTAAATTCCGTTTTTAAATAATAGGTCACCTATGGCTTTCGTCATGAGCCATGGCTGTGTTCAAAATAGCATAAATGTTTTCAAAGCGTACTACAAAGGGAGCGCAGTTGTCAACATGATGATTGCTAAAACTGAACTGTAAAACATACTTGGAAAGCAAATTACACCCATAAGAGAGATGACTTTAACGATTTTTTAATTATTCTATGTTTAAATGTTGGAAGGTTCGAAAGGAAGGAAACAGAACACCATAACCCCCTCCCCCCGATTCTCAGTCATTAGTTCGCACACCTGCGTAGACCCTTTACTTGTACAGTAAGGGAATCATTTTATATGTTTTATTACACTTTAATAAAGATGGTAGTAAAAAGATGTTTTACCATTAAAGCAACCATTTCTGTGAAAAAACAAAGGCACATCCAACACAATTTAAATGATTTAATGATTAACACATATAGCGGACAAAACGTCAATCCATAAAACACAGCAAAGCAAGGAAATATAAAATTTAGGTAATAAATGGCAATATTCTCTCAGTTACCCTGAACACAAAAAAGAACCACCAAGTATAACACCTTTTTAATGAAAAGGGGCACAGCTTAGAAACACATGACCAGTACCTGCATTGGGTCTCTCTCTTCATGTGATGCATGAAAAAAATGGAGATTCTTGAGAAGTATTTTTGTGTGCTTGTGTCTGAGTTGGGCGATACGTGAAAAGAAACAGGAAAAGTGAGAATAAGTCTTCTCTGGAGATGTTCTGCCCTGATTTTTGGCTGTGTAGATAGATTTAATTTATTAGTCAAATCACACCCATTCTCTACTGACTGACCAATGGCTTTGAGAGGAAAGTTTGCGCTGGAGCATTCCTTTGTTTTTCCTCACTGGTCTTGGAGTAGCAGAGGCCAGCTAGTGAAGTGCTGTGCAGGTAAACCTCACTTCTCTAACAGACGCTAGACGCTAGACGCCTCCTAGTCTAGGCCTCCTAGGCTAGTCTTTAGCTTCCTTGTTAGAGCAACTGACTCCCATGCGGAAAGTTGCTGGTTCGATCCCAGCTTAAAACGGGTTGGGTGGTGTAGGACTTATGGGGTTACATTGGTGTCGTGACCCAGGATATAACTGAGGATATAACTGAGGATGCGCGTGGTGAGAGTGGTGTCGCGGACGCTGCCCTCTCTAATCTGCCGCCCTAGACGTGGATATAACTAAGGACGCGGTTGGTGAGGGAACTGTTGTGGACGCCGCCTTCTCCATTCTGCTGCCCTAGGCGCAGATATACAATAGTATCTGGATGCAGCCTTTACGATGCAAGCTGAGATTGCATCACTCAGCGATGCAATGTCAGACACAATGCACTCGAATGAACCCCTGACATCACTGTGAGGGGTAGGGTTAGTGGTGGGGTTAGGTGAGCCCATTAAAAACCATTGGATGCAGCTCAGATTGAACTGTACCAGGTCTGCATCCAGACCCCTCACCGCATATAACTGAGGACGCGGGTGGTGAGGATGGTCTTGCGAACACCGCCCTCTCTATTCTGCCGCCCTAGGCGCAGGTATAACTGAGGACAAGGGTGGTGAGGTAGGTGACGCGGACGGCGCCCTCTCTATTCTGCTGCCCCAGGCGGCCTTCTAGGTCGCCTCTATGGCCGCGCTGGCCCTGCATACAAGTTATCATCATATGTCCTAGATCATGCACTGTAGAATTATGTAATTCATGCATTCTTACTCTATCTAATGCCTTGAAAATAGCATATTAAAGTGTTTGAAATTAAGGAGGAGAATATGTAGATTATACACTCATTACATGCATTTTGAAGCAAATTTTCTGGGAGTTTTCAGGAGTCCATTTCAATACTGTGTGTGTGGGTTCCAAAGATGTGGGGGATCTTTGAAGACCATGACAGGATGGAGCAAGAAGGGCATCTTGGTAGACAAGATGTCACAGAGTGATCTTATTCAAACAGAGCTGAGATTCATAAAAGTCAGGAGACTGGACCCAGATCTATTCTGGACACTTGTTTATATTTGCCTACAACTTTCACTCTGAAGTTTAACCCCCTTGAAAGTATTTAGGCAAAAGGGCAAGCCATTTAATATGAAACACAGCCACAAATGGTGCATGTCATAATAGAACATTTTAATTTTAACTGCTTGCCTGCTAAAAAGTAAAATGTCTTTTTATTTTGAACATGAGAAGTATGAATAAATTAATATGTTCTTCATCTGCTATACTACTATTATCAACCGGTGCCAAAGACCAACAGGTGCCAGTTAAGCCACTTCACTTGCATTTAGAAAACCTCCCCTGTGTCCCAATGGGATAAAAAATTTAATGCATACTTCAGAATACTGACAGAAGAAATAAGTTATTTTTTCTAATAGTATATCTTTGTACATACTGCATACATAACGCAGTGGCACAGTAGGTAGTGCTGTCGCCTCATAGCAAGAAGGTCACTGGTTCGAGCCTCGGCCGGGTCAGTTGGCGTTTCAGTGTGGAGTTTGCATGTTTTCTCTGCGTTCGCGTGGGTTTCCTCCGGGTGCTCAGGTTTCCACCACAGTCCAAAGACAGGTGGTACAGGTAAATTGGGCAGGCTAAATTGTCCGTAGTGTATGAGGGCTCTATTTTGACGGTCCATGCGCAGAGCGCAAAACGCAGGGCGCAAACGCTTTCAGGGTGTGTCAGAACGCATTTTTGCTAATTTAAGGATGGGAAAATGCGCTTTGCGCCAAGGCGCATGAGCTAAAAGGGTTGAATTTATTTTCTTAATGAGTTATAGGTGTGTTTTGAGAATAAACCAATTAGAGTCTCATCTCCCATTCCCTTTAATACCCAGCTCCGTCGCGCCAAGAGCGCATTCGCTATTTATAGGATGCAAAGTAAGTCTAAGTGGAAAAAATGAGCATTTCACAAGCAAACAGTTAACAGTTGACAGTTTTTTAACAGATCACTGGTAAACAGAGCATCTACTGCGTGAGAATGAGAGATAATGGAACTACTTTCACATTCGCTCTTGGATAGGGAAACCTTTACGCACAGACATCAATTAGCCTATAAATAATTAATTTAGTTTGTTAAGCGCAAAGATTTGTTTCAAAACTATTTTTAAATTCAGTTCTAATTTCTAGTAAACCAATAAATGAACAATAATGACCAAGTGTGGTCAAAATACTTATGGCCAAAATAATATGGTCTAAAACCTGACAGGTGGGCAAATCTAAGCTTGTTTTTAATAAAACAAATATACATATGGATATAATAAATAATACTGCTAATAATAATAACATTATACAAAAGCAAATTTTTATAAATGAACTGAAAAAGCCTCCCGAGATGAAGAAGACATTTATGTAGGCTAGAAAATAATATGTTTTGTAATATTTTAAACCTTTATATTTATATCCTATATCTATTCTTATTATATCCTATATATATCCTTAATATTTAATTTTTTTCATATGTAAAGATATTTGCCTATTGCTCTCTTGTGCATATTAAGCAGTGCGTAAGCGAGGCGCAACTCTGCGCCGGAGTTTAGACCGGGTTAGTTTTGATCTAATGAAAAATCTATTATAGTTTCTCAAAATAGCGACGTGCCAGCGCTCCGCCTCAGAACGCCTTCCTTTTTAGACCAGAACGCCTATGGGTGCACAAATGAGCGCTATTGCATTTGCTATTTAAACAGTGTAGCGCAACGCCTTAAAACTCTTGCGCCAAGCTGAAACTACCAAAAGACTATTGCACCGCGTCTTGCGCCACACTGCGCCGGGTGTATGATAGGGCCCTGAGTGTGAATGAGTGTGTGTAAATGTTTCCCAGGGATGGGTTGCGGCTGGAAGGGCATCCGCTGCGTAAAAACGTGCTGGATAAGTTGGCGGTTCAATCCGCTGTGGTAACCCTGGATTAATAAAGGGACTAAGCCGACAAGAAAATAAATTAATGAATGTACATACTGCTCTCAGGGTATGCACAAACTTGTAAAATGTGTACTATAAATTGAAGCCAGCAGGACATTTTAGCACACAATCAAGCATTCATTAATTAAATATCATTGGATCCTTTATCCACGGAAGTTGAAATGTTCATATTTCTGTGTTTTCTGAGTATATGTGTTTTTAAATAAGTTTTTTCTGCATGTTTTTCAGTTACCTTGATGACATGGACAGAATAGCTGCAGGGTTTTACATGCCGACCTTGCAGGATATTCTACGAGTCCGAGTTCCAACCACAGGCATCATTGAATACGTCTTTGACCTTCAGAGTGTTCTATTCAGGTAACTACTAACTGGTGTAGTGACGATGGCTAAATAACAATGGAACAGTTTGTAAATTGAAAATTTATTGCTGAATCTTCAGAATGGTTGATGTCGGAGGCCAAAAGTCAGAAAGACGGAAGTGGATCCATTGTTTTGAAAACGTCACATCTGTAATCTTCTTGGTGGCTCTGAGCGAATATGATCAGTTCTTATTTGAGAGTGCGAATGAGGTTAGTCTATTTCTTATGAGATATTAAGAAAAACTTTGGATTTGATTCTTTTTGTTTATACGATGTTATTCCTCCACAGAATCGAATGGAAGAAAGCAAGGCACTTTTTAAGACAATCATCTCCTATCCCTGGTTTCAGGATTCCTCTGTCATTTTGTTCCTTAATAAGACAGATATCCTGAAGGATAAGATCTTAAAGTCAGACCTTGCGAAGTATTATCCACAGTTCACAGGTTGGTGAATGGCTGACAATCTTATTCCTCACTTTTGGCTAATTTTCCAAGTCCTTGTTTTTCCTTTTAAATAGTTCAATTACTTTTAGATAATTATACAAGATGACATGATTTACCAGATGTGCAGTTTGTTTTAAAATTTAAAAAATTGTTTTAAAAATGTTTTAATATTTAGTTTTTGAATGGGTCTTTTGATGAATGAAAGTTTGTAATGACTTTCAATGAAGGCCCAAAACTTAAGCATTTTTCAAATCGTAATTTGTATTTCAAATATGAAAGGATGAAAATATGAGAAGGAGTAAATTATGACATGGGAGTGCCCATAACACTGGATTCTGACAAAATAATGTATGTCAACTCAAATACAACAAATCAACCACATAAATAATGTGTAATAGATATGATAAAACAAACAAAATACTGTTATGCTATTCAGTGGAGTTAAAAAATATAAGCTTTATGTTATTTTAAGAGCCCCCACTTAGCTGATAATTGAATAAAGCGAGTTTGGCATGCTGTCCCGGGAGAGAGCCCTGTGCTCATAAGATCTTTGAGCCTGGGGCTCCCTCCCGTTTGCAGGGCAAGAGGGGAGTTTGAGCTCATTTAGGTCCTGAGAACCCCTCCCCCCTCCCCCCTGTTTAGAGCTGATGACAGATCATAATTTGCTATGTGGAGATATACTGCTTGTTAGTAGTTCGACTATAGTGTTAATTGATCAATTCACTTAATGACATATGTTTTGGGAAGAAACCGAGCAACCCGGGAAAAATCCACTCGAGCACAAGAAGAACATGTACAGTAAACTCCGCAGAGAAATGACAGCTGGGCTGTTAAGGATTTGAACCAGTGACGTTCTTGCTGTGAGGCAACAGTGGTAACCACTGGGCTGTCATGTCGTCCTGTATAGGGAAAGGTGGAAGAGTTTTTTTACAGTGAGTTAGGAGTCATTTCATGGGTGAATCATGCATTTGTTAATGTGGGACCAGCCATGTTCAATCATAATCACATGCTTCTCTCGAAATTAGTTAATAAATAAACTTTACTTAGTTTAATGTCACCGTTGAGGGACGAACTGAAAATCAGCTTCACTGACCCCAACAGCCATGTAAGGTAGAAGGCAACAGAAACCAAAACCTTTGAAGAAACCTGTCTCAGTCGGGGGACCAGTTCTCCTCTGGCCAAATGGATAATAGTCAGAGCTGCAGCCTAGAAAGACATTGGTGACCTTGAGAATGAAGATCTTATGTGTCATGACAAATGGTGCTTGTTTAAGCGGGTCCTAGGTGAGTGTGCAGGCTAGCCAAATTGATTGCTGAGAATCAGCCTTTAGGGTTGATTCATCAATGCCCTCCCTCACCATCTGGGGCTGTTTACTGTATGTATTATTTTTTCCTCCCAGTTTGTCTGTCTCACGAACTGTATTAGGAAGACAATTTCAGAGTTTATGTGCTAGGTGAGCGCGAAGCAAAAAGTAACGTGGGGTAAAATGTAACAAAGAGTTTTAAGGTAATTTCTAGGGTTAACCATGCTTTTGAGGTTTTTACCACAGTGTTGGCAGATGTTTTCCTGCCAATTATTGTAAAATTATGGCAACATTTGGACAAGAAACACAGGAGAAACCATTTTTGCAGCATAAAAGTATTTTTTATTATAGTCCAAAATTTTTTATTAAAAAAAATCTGTGAATGCATGTATGCAAAATCTTATATTGTTGTTATTACGTAGGCTAAAAGATGGAACTATTTTGAAAGATGTAAAAACACAGTGACTGCTAGCCACTTTTGAATAAAACACAACACGGCGAGGTTAGTTGTAACAGGGTGTTACAATTAGGCCACACTTGGTTGGACACTAACTAAACTAACACATTTTTTTGTGAATTTTGAGTGAAATGTTTAAAACTTTTTAAATAAATTGTTTTTGATAGAAAATATTTTTGTGTTGCTAATTCTACAATAAATGCATTGTATAATAATATATAATAATCCAAATGTGTTTGTCCAATAAATAAATAAATAAATAAACATGCTGTGCTATGTAGAATAAACAATAAATTGAGCTAAGTAATGAGGAAATATAGCTACTATTTAAAGTAAATTAAATTAACTGTGAAATTTGCATTTTTAAGCATGTGTTACAACTAACCCTCTGTCTGTTACAACTTGCCCCACAGGTGGGGTAAATAGTAACATTTATACTCCTGGCATTTTTGGTAAAACTGCACAGAAACCATAAATTGGTCAATCATACAGTACAACAAGTGGGCATTTGTAGGAGAGACTTTTATGTTGTTGGTAAAAAAAATAAATAAATAATTTGTCTAACCCCATTACTTTTTTCATTATTTGGCCAAAACAAAAAAGTATTGCTTTGTACCCCGCTCTCCCCTAGATAAGAAAATGCCTGTAGATAATAAAAAACATATATAGTAATCAATCATCTACCATTTTTTATGTATCAAATGTAGAGGGTTATTCTAAAGTAAATAAAACCTTACACTATACAGATGAAGGTGAAAGGGATGTCCCTTTCATCCATAACAAGAGATGTCATGCCAGATCTTTACAATGTTACTAACTCATTCAAGTCCCCTGAAAAGACAAAAGGCAAGTGCATAAGGGGGCAGTAGAATGCAGAGAAACTCAATAAACAATCAGTCGCGACTTCTTTGCAATTTCAGCATGACATCAACTTTCACTGTATTGGATGATTGCATGGTATGTAAATGCAAAACTCAGGATTCATTTGCTCACATGATACGGTCTGATTGCTCAGCAGCAGCTTGACAGCTAACACTGTGTGTATGAAATCAGCATATAACACAAGCTTCTTCTTCTTTTTTGTTTAATGGTGGTTGGCAAATCAGCAAGTGGTCTATTTACACCACCCAATGGGAAGAAATCAAAAGCCACAACAAATTATTATTTTTTCCGGTCACAATTTACAATAAGGTTTATTAGTTAATGTTAATTATTGCATTAACTAACATGAACAAACAATAAACAATAAATTTGCTACTGTATTTGTTCATGTTAGTTAACGTTAGTTAATGAAAATACAGTAGTTCATTGTTAGTTCATGTTAACTCATGGTGCATTAACTAATGTTGACAAGCTTGGACTTGGATGTTAATAATGCATTAGTAAATGTTCAATTATGATTAATAAATGCTGTACAAGTGTTGTTCATGATTAGTTCATGTTAGTAAATGCATTAACTAATGAACCTTATTGTAAAGTGTTACATTTTTTCCTAATCAGATCTGTATCTCACATATATTCATTCATTTTCTTTTCGCTTTAGTCCCTTTATTAATCAGGGGTCGCCACAGCAGAATGAACCGCCAACTTATCCAGCATATGCTTTATACAGCAGATGCCCTTCCAGCTGCAACCCATCACTGGGAAACACCCATGCACTCTCATTCACACACATAAACTATGGACAATTTAGCCTTCTACCCAATTTACCTATACCACATGTCTTTGGACTTGTGGGGGAAACCGGAGCACTCAGGGGAAACCCACATGAACATGGGGAGAGCATGCAAACTCCACAGAGAAATGCCAACTGACCCAGTTGAGGCTCGAAACAGCTACTTTTTTTGCTGTGAGGCGACAGCACTTCCTATTTTCTTTATAAGAGCCTTAAAAAGTCTTAAATTTGACTTGTTGAAACCTGCAGAAACTCTAAGGGTTCACAGGGGTGCTCTGGTGCAATTTTAATGAACATATGGTTCCTTGCCGGCATTCATTGACCAACCAACCAGCAATTTTCATGCAGAAAAAAATTTATCCTGTCACAGCAAAATGGGTGAAGCTGTTCTTTGAGGCTAAAAGAAATTAAATGGTCAGCTCAGAGTTCTGATCTAAACCTGACTGAAATGCTGTAAAAAAATCATTGATGACAAAGTTCACAGTGGAGTAGTGATGTCATGTGAAGACAGATGTGCTGAAATTATTCAAAACAAGGGCCTGTACACTTCCTATTAACCTCTGACTGCTGTAATCTTCATAAATTCAAGTTATAACCTTTCTCCTTGCTGCAAATGTTGCTGTTATTTGATCTCGGTGTATTTTGTTAAACACAATATTTACACACACATACAAAAAAATAAAAAAATTAAGAGGAGCCTACAATATGGATATGTACAATAGTCTAATCACATTTAGTATGAATTGCATGATTGATATTTCATATTGTTTGGAGCAGACTGTAATATACAGTAGGCGTTAGTTATTAAATGATAATTAAATTACTACACTAATTAAATGAGTTACTGCACTACCTTGTGGTTTTCAAAAAAGAAAATGCAGCTACTTTAGGTTAGCAGCTTTGGTCAATTTGTTTTTACTAATTCCTGACACTGCTGGAGATTTTTCGATTAACTCTGATCATCATTGGAAATCTTTTCTGCTTCTTCCACAGGGCCTAAAAATGATGCAGATGCTGCAATGAAGTTCATCTTGAAAATGTATGAGGAACAGAACCCCGACAAACAGAAGCGGATCTATGCACATTTTACCTGTGCGACTGACACTGAAAATATCCGTTTTGTTTTTGAAGCAGTAAAGGACACCATTCTGCGCAACACCCTCAGCGCATTTAACTTAGGTTAGGTGACAGGAGTGTTTTTGCATATACTGTTAGAATGGTTTTTACTCCTGATCCAATGAAAAGCTTTATATGATCTGTGAATGAAGACTGACATTGCTGTATGGAAATATTGTGTGAACTTATAGCCTGCTTGTGCTTACATAAATTATAGACATGCCCAAAAAAGAAATGTCTAATTTTATGTTAATCAGAGGCATGCGACACAGGTTTGGAACAACATGAGGTAGAGTGAATGATAAGATAATTTTTATTTAGTGTTAGCTGTCTTTTAAACTTTTTTAAAAAAGAATATTTTTTCAGGAAATGTCAGGAACTTTTTTTTTCTCTCCACTAGGATATTTTTCTATATGAAATGCTTTATTATGCTAAATAGATCTAAATTTACTGCAATACCTTAATTTGTAATATCAGGTGAATTAGATAAATATTTTTATTGATACTTAATGTAGCATCTGTTGTGAATATCTTCAATATTGCATTCTATTTCTAACAGATTTTAATAAAATATGAATTAAGCCTTATAGCATGAAAGGGACGCTTTGAATCCATGCAAATCCTGTGTAGCCACTGTCTTTGCTATTCAAACAATCTGCTTAAAACTGACATGGACATAAGAATGATGCCATTATACAGATTGTTTCATGTTTATTGTAACATGATTACAGATTAATTCAGTGAAAAGTGGGAAAAAAGCTGCTGCTTATTGTAAAATGTACCGAGAAATCCAATCAAATACTTTTGCATTTAGCAGCCATTGCATATTATTTAATAAATAAAAAATTTTATTATTTGTTTTTACATTTAAATTTCATTAAAGGACTTTTTTTCCAGTAAAAAGTTTGAACTGATTTCAACACTTTCTGATACTATAGGAGTGTCACAATTGCAAAATTGCTAAATATGGAGTCACTGTTAATATAACATTTTTGTTTATTTGTATTTTTGTATGGACAGTCACATTTTTCATTGTGATAACTTGAAAACAAAAGGAATATGTGTATGACACATACAATTGTTTATTTTACAACCAATATGTTAGTGAGAAAAAATAAATGTGACCATAAGTATTTTTTTAACCTTACGTCTGAGAAGTGGCAACTCTGTGTATATGTATATAGGAAATTTTCACAGTATGTCTGATAATATTTTTTCTTCTGAAGAAAGTCTTATTTGTTTTTTTCGGCTAGAATAAAAGCAGTTTTTAAATCTTTACACACAATTTTAGGGACAAATTTTATTAGCCCCTTTAAGCTATATTTTTTCTCGATAATCTACAGAAAAAAAACATTGTTATACAATAACTTGCCTAATTACCCTAACCTTTCTAGTTAACCTAATTATCCTAGTCAAGCCTTTAAATGTCACTTTAAGCTGTATAGAAGTGTCTTGAAACATATCTAGTAAAATATTATGTACTGTCATCATGGCAAAGAGGAAATAAATCATTTATTAGAAATGAGTTATTAAAACTATTATGATTAGAAATGTGTTGAAAAAAATCTTCTCTCCATCAAACAGAAATTGGGGAAAAAATAAACAAGCGGTCTAATATTTCAGGGGGGCTAATAATTCCGACTTCAATTGTATATATATATATATATATACTCACACAGGGCATGACTAACTTTTTTGATCACCAGCCACTGTGGCTAGTAGATTTCCAACATTGCTATTAGCATTGCTGCTAGCCACACTTTTCCTGTTGGGAAAATATATTTTATATGCATAAATTTGACTTTGACATGCTAAAATAACTTGATTTAGATTTTGTGTTATGTCTACATACCTTCTCGTTCATTTAAGTTGTTGTGTGTATCGTGTATTAGCTTGCTCAGTGTATGAGCAATTGGGTTGTGTCGCAATAAGTTTTTATTTCACAACTTTTCAGGGCTCAAAATTGAGGATTTACCAAATTTATCTCTGACCACACCAAATAAGTATTTCTTAGCCACTATTTTTTTAATGTGTAAAAACAAGTAAAATATAGCTGTATGTGCACTTTATAATTCAACAATACTTTCCTTTAAAGAAAAAACAACAACATTACATTTAAAAAAGAATTATTGTCATGTATCTAAAATATGCACAGTAGTCTGTCCAGGCTAAAAGTCCCAGATCACCAGTTAACTACACATAAACAGGGAGTAATCTCCCATTAAAGCTATGTTATTGTAAAAAATGACAATTAAACCATATTAACAAAAATAACTGTAAGTAAAAGAAAGCAGGTGAAACAAACCGTGTTGATAATGAAAGGATGATCACGCGCACAGGGTTAATATTGGCCTGTTAATAATTTGTTCAAAGACTAATTAAAAGGAAAGCAATGACCACTGCTGTTTACAGAAGAATATGTGTATTTTTTAACGTTCGAGGTTACTAAAGTAACCCTTCGTTCCCCGAGGAGGGGAACGGAAGCACTATAAGTGGATTTGATTGTTAAAATCCACGTATGGGAGGTTCGGTTCAGAAGCTACTCGTCTGAAAGAGTATTGAACGGGCCAATTAAGAATGAATTGGCAGCGCAAGCCTGCGCAGGTGAGCGACATAAGCAATCAACTGAGTATATAAGCTCACCTGGCGCCAGCAGACGCTATCCTTTTTAAGCTGAAGAGACTTTTAACAGCTAAGGGACAGTCATTATGGCGACGGAGTATAGTGCTTCCGTTCCCCTCCTCGGGGAACGAAGGGTTACTTTAGTAACCTCGAACGTTCCCCTTCGGGGGGAACTTCAGCACTATAAGTGGATTTGATTGTTAAAATCCACGTATGGGAGCCCATTGAAAGCGCCATAATGACTGCACCTTACCAACACCCACCATGAGAGAGCGGTCAGGCAAGCGTGACGCACCCAGATCACGAGAGGCGTGGTCCTCCAACGTGCCTATGGCCCTAACTTATCCTACTTCAAAAGAAGTTTTACGGAATAGGTATCTTTTTTGGGAGTCGCTAGCGTCTAGATAATTCTAGGAATACACGACAGTACGTTGGGAAGCGTGCCATCCCAGTAGGGAGGACGCTGCGGAGACCATCCGCACCCAATAGGGGGAACAAATGGAATTACATATGGACTAACCCTGAAAAGGGGGAGTGCGCATAAGAAGGTGGTTAGCAGATAGGGAAAGCACGGGTCCGCCCAGGGGGGGAACTTTTCCGTGGCGGAAAAGCATATGGGGATCACCAGCGGGGATCGGCCATAGCAGGCACCTATACCCAAAACGCAGGCTGACCAGCGGGCAGACCTACTACGTAATGGGCCAGCAAGTGACTCCTCCGCTGAGTCAGTGCTGGGGGCCTCGGAGGAATCTGCAGGGCTCACCGAATGGGGAACTTTACTGACAGACAGGAGGGTGCACATCTCTCCGTGTTAGGGAAAAAAAGGCTCCGCAAGCGTGTACAACACCTACCGAGTTGTTTCCTCAATCACCAAAGGTACCTAACACCCTTGAGGAAACCGGCTCCACTCGCAGATTATTAAATCTTGCAAATGTGTTGGGTGTCGCCCAGCCCGCAGCTCTACAAATGTCTGTTAAAGAAGCGCCACGCGCACACGCCCAAGAGGATGCAACGCTCCGAGTGGAGTGCGCATGCACTCCTGGAGGGCGCGGCTGGCCTCTGCTCAAATAAGCACATGAATGGCCTCCACAATCCAGTGGGATAAACGTTGTTTAGACACGGCACTTCCCTGCTGCCGTCCGCCATAACAGACAAAGAGCTGCTCAGAAGATCTAAAGTTCTGAGTACGGTCCACATAAATGCGCAGAGCGCGAACTGGACAAGTAAGGACAGGGCTGGGTCTGCCTCCTCCGGGGGCAGCGCTTGCAGGGTTACTACCTGATCTCTAAAAGGAGTGGTAGGAACTTTGGGCACATAACCCGGGCGGGGTCTCAGAATAACGTGAGAAAATCCCGGCCCGAATTCCAGGCACGAGTCACTGACCGAAAATGCCCCCAGGTCCCCGACCCTCTTAATGGAGGCCAACGCGACCAGCAGAGCTGTCTTCAGGGACAGAAATCTTAAAGATACTGTATCGAGTGGCTCGAAGGGATCAAATCGCAGGCTCGTGAGAACGAGGGCGAGATCCCAAGAGGGCGTGAGAGGGGGGCGAGTCGGATTAGGGTTAGGGTTTATCGCCTAGCGCCTCTGAGGAACCGGATGATGAGGTTATGCTATCCCACGGTGCCGCCAGCCACCGCGTCATGGTGAGCGGAGATGGCAGCAACGTAAACCTTGAGAGTGGAGGGCGACAGCCTGCTGTCCAGCTTCTCTAAGGAAAGAGAGCACAACACTGATCTGGCAAGATCGGGGGTCTTCTCTGCGAGAGACACACCACTCAGTGAATAGACTCCACTTCAGGGCGTAGGCGCGCCTCGTGGAGGGGGCTCTAGCCTGAGTGATGGTATCAACCACCGCGGGCGGCAGGTTACCTAAGTCTTCCTCGCGTCTATGGACCACACGTGGAGGCTCCAGAGATCGGGACGAGGGTGCCAGATGGTGCCTTGTCCCTGAGAAAGTAGGTCCTCTCTCAAAGGGATCTGCCAAGGGAGGGCCGTCGCGAGGAGGGAGAGCTCTGATATCCAGGTTCGGTTGGGCCAGAGGGGCGCAACTAGCAAAACCTGCTCCTCGTCCTCCCTGACCTTGCACATTAACTGTGTGATCAGGCTCACTGGGGGAAACGCATACTTGCGTACGCCCCGAGGCCAGCTGTGGGCCAGTGCATCCGTGCCGAGAGAGCCCTCGGTCAGGGAATAAAACAACTGGCAATGAGCGTTCTCGGGGAAAGCAAACAGATCGATCTGGGCCTCCCCGAATCGCGCCCATATCAGCTGGACAGACTCGGGGTGGAGTCTCCATTCTCCAGAGTGAATCTGCTGCCGTGAGAGCACATCGGCTGCACGGTTGAGCATACCTGGGATGTGAATGGCGCGCAGCGACTTCAGCCGCGGGTGACTCCAGAGGAGCAGACGGCGGGCGAGCTGAGACATGCGGCGAGAGCGCATACCCCCCATGCGGTTGATATACGCCGCCGCCGCCGTACTGTCCGTCCTGACCAGCACGTGTTGCTGCCCCAGCGCCGGAGAAAAACGGCGGAGAGCAAGGAACACTGCCAACAGCTCTAGGCGATTGATGTGCCAATGCAGCTGGGCACCTACCCACAGGCCCGCAGCTGCATGCCCGCGACACACGGCTCCCCAGCCTGTGCTGGAAGCATCTGTCGAAACAACAACATGACTGGACGCCTGTCCCAGAGGCACACCGGCCTGCAGGAACGAGGGGTCGTTCCAGGGGCTGAGGGTGCGGCGACACAGCGCAGTAACAGAGACTCGGTGTGTGCCCGCATGCCATGCGTGTCTCGGAACTCGATCTTGAAGCCAGTGCTGAAGTGGTCTCATATGGAGCAATCCGAGCGGCGTGACGGCCGCAGCGGAAGCCATATGCCCCAGGAGCCTCTGAAAATATTTCAGTGGGACCACTAACTTGCTGTCGAGCTCCCTCAGACAGTTCAGCAGCAGGCGAGCGCGCTCTCCGTAGAGGCGCGCTACCATGGTGACCGAGTCCAGCTCCATCCCGAGAAAAGAGATCCTCTGCACCGGGGCGAGTTTGCTCTTTTCCCAGTTGACCTGCAACCCCAATAGGCGGAGATGCCGGAGCACCTCGTCTCTGTGCGCAGTCAATTGCTCCCGAGAGTGGGCTAAAATCAGCCAGTCGTCGAGATAATTGAGTACGCGGATGCCCGCAAGCCGCAGAGGCGCTAGGGCACCCTCCGCGAGTTTGGTGAAGACCCGCGGAGACAGAGAGAGCCCGAAGGGGAGGACCTTGTACTGCCATG